TATTTAGGTCTACACGATGTGAACCTACATAGGCATTGTTTGTCATAAGCCATTACCATATTCAAATTCGAAACTTGAAATAAATGGTGAATAATGTAGCTAAAATCATCAAAACATCATCTATAGGGAGGTACCGTTATATCGGAGCTGTGCGAAGACCTGGACCAGCATAGACAATTTTCTGTGACAGGCATCCATTACGAACGTCAAATACGACATCTCAAACAATTTCGTTGGGTATTGTACCTAAACTCGTCAAAATACCGAATATAGGGAGGTACTGATATATGGGGCCTACGCGAAGACCTGGACCTGCATAGACAATTTTCTGTCACAGACTGTAGTTCCCATTACGAACTCTAAATACGTAATTTGAAACAATTCCGGTGAATAATGACGCTAAAATCATCAAAATACCGAATATAGGAAGGAACCGATACGCGGGGGTTATACGAAGACCTGGACCTACATAGACAATTTTCTGCCTTAGGCTGTAGTATCAATTACGAACTCTAAATACGTAATTTAAAACAATTCCGGTGAATAATGACGTTAAAATCATCAAAATACCGAATATAGGGAGGTACCGTTATATGGCGGCTATACCGAAACGTGGACCTACGTGGGCCATTTTCAATACCAAAAGTCCTGCAGACATAATAGACATTTGAGAAAAATTTTTTTTTCGTTCGGAAGCTATAGTGATTTCCACAGTCGGATAGACGGGCGGACATCGCTAAATCGACATAGAATATTATGCTGATCAAGAAAATATATACTTCATGAGGTCTGAAATGTATATTTCTTACTATGGTGGAGGGTATAAAAATATATATGGTTATGGTTATGCTACTGCGTTCATGTAAAACGAGTGCATAACAAGGGCGGAATATGAAAATGTTTATACATAGTGAGATGAAAAAACTGCAACCAACTTCAGACTGCTGTCATTTCTAAGGCACTCGTCCGACAGCCGCTAAAATTATTCCAGTGACAGCTCATTATATTGTTTACAAGCGTAAAAAGGCATTCTGGTGAGAATATTCCAGAAAAAAAATTATTCGTGATGGAATTCAGGAGTGATAATGTGATTTCGTTATATTTGGTTAGGAAAACCACAAGAGGCTATCGTTGGAGCACTCCAGCATTTAACTGTGAATAAATCTTTTATGTCTCGCAGCATCGCTCGTTACCGTGATACTGGTAGCGTTGCCCGACGTCAAGGAAGTGGACGGAAGAAAACAGCAAGATCATCAGAAATGGTTCGAAAAGTAGAGAAGCGACTTGATCGAAACCCCCATCGCAGTGGCCGAAAAAATGGCTCGTGAGCTGAACTTATCGCAATATTCCATTCGGCTAATATTGAAAAATGAGCTCGGGGTAAAGCCATTGATATTCCAAAAAGTGTAAGAACTTACAACGCAACGGAATGAAAATAGACTCAAAAGAGCTAAAGAGTTGCTTCGCTTCGCCAAAAGTGGTGAACTGCCGAATTTGGTTTTCTCCGATGAGAAAACATTCCTTGTCCAGCAGTTTGAAATGATCTAGTTTACTTGCCAAAGAGGTCAGCTGAAAATGTGCACCTTCGGTTGACCACCAGAACTCAAGCGCAGTCCATGGTAAAGGTCGCCGATGGTCGCTCTCCGCTCGTACTAATCGACTGTGGGATCAGAATAAATGTCGAGTATTATCGGGAAAATATTCTGGAGGGTGTATTAATAAAGCCTTGGGCATGCAAACATTTCAACAGAACTCAGCATCATTGCACTTAACACGCGCCGCCAAAGAATGATTACAAAATGATTTTCCTCGCTTCATTTTCAGCGCACAATAGCCACCAAAATCTCCGGATATCAATCCGTTGGACTGTTGTGTCTGGAGTGTTTTGGAAAGCAAGGTTGGTACTAAAAAATACCAAAGTGTCGATTACCTCAAGCAAGCGCTTCGCCAGGCCAATAGGCCAAAATAACGCAGAGCAACATTCGGGCAGCGTCTGACGGTTTCATTGGCAGTTTGAAGGCCATAATTCGTGCCAAAGGTGACAAATTCGAACAAATTGAAACTTATTCTAAAATTTGATGCTATTTGCAATAAAAATATTGATTTCTATTCTTTAGTAACTCATACTAAAATATGATCTAGAACAACTCTCCTATTGGCACCTTTCCCAAAAAATGTAGATAAATGGGAGATTTTGACTCGATTTGAAAACGTTTTTTTAATAAACATTAAAAAAGCAAATACATAAATTTTCACTTTTTGTACATACATTTTGAATGTAATTTGCATAACAACTCTTGCACCTAGATATATGGGTTATTCTAAGATTTATAGTGAAATCTTGTGGAGAATATTTCTCCTTTTGACACCTTTTGTCGATAACGAACTTTTATGTTCCTTTCAGGCGTTAAATTGAAAAGAGTCCGGAAAAAAATTAATCCAAAAAAATTAAGAAATATTTTGGGTTTTTTTTTCGAATATGGATTCAAAAATATGTTGGCATCCGATGGAAGTAGAGATTTCTATTCATTGGTAACTTATAGTAAAATTTTATGAAGAATAATTATGTCTTTGACGTCATCCTTCTAAAATGATGATTTCTTGCAGATTTTAGCACAAACTCACCAAAAGTAGGGTTTTAACCTAAAACGCGTTTATATAAATTGTAGACTTCTGACGTCTTCTAGAACCTATGGTAGAATTTTATGACAAATAATTTTGTGGACTATTTTGACTTGCTATGATCCCGTTTAAAGGGAGTTTTAACCATCTTTCAAAAAAAAGGAACAAAAAAGCACTTTGCTGCAAGATTAACATTTTCTGCCAAACTATTCCTGGTATTTTTATCTGAAATGTTGCCGACAACAGGTACTTTGGGCTATTCTAAATTTTTCCTTAAAAAATCCTCCTTTATAGGACCATTGGATTTTCAAAAAAAAAAAAATCTCCTTAAAAAATCCACGTTTATAGGACCGTAGGATTTTCAAAAAAAATATCCTTAAAACCAAGTTTGAAAGACTTCTTCAAACTCCTCTCGAATGTTTCACACTATGTGTTTTTAATATATTTGGCGTTTAGGTAAATTGTAGACTTCGGACGTCTTCTAAGACCCATAGTAGAATTTCATGACAAATAATTTTGTGGGCTATTTTGACTTGCTACGATCCCGTTAAAAGGGAGTTTTTAATCATATTTTTCAAAAAGAACAAAAAGACCCCTTTGTTCACTCGCTCGAGGGTTAACATTTTCTACCAAAATATTCTGAAGTGCACGGATTCCGAGGAATCTTAGTCAGAAAATTTCCAAAAGTGTAGAAGAGGGGAGAACTTATCCCTCTATTTATGTTACTTTGCGAAGCAGACTTTCAAAACGACAATACAGGTGTCTTTTGTTTTTATACCCTCCACCATACTATGGAGAGTATATCGAGAGTATATCGCTATCTATCGAATGAATTGAAATAGAAGGCTTAAATTTTGTACACATGTTTATTTTTCCAGTAGGCAGGTTAAATTCGTAAATAGGCCATGTAGGTCCACGTTTTCATATAGCCCCCATATAACGGTACCTCGCGATAATCGGTATTTTGATGATTTTAGCGACATTATTCACCGGAATTGTTTGAAATTTGGTATTTGAAGTTCGAAATGGATACTACACCCTAAGGCAGAAAATTGTCTGTGCAGGTCAACGTCTGCGTATAGCCCCCATTTAATGGTTCCTACCTATATTCGGTATTTTGATAACGTTAACGACATTATTAACCGGATTTGTTTCAAATTTGATATTTGAAGTACCACAGCCTATGACAGAAAATTGTCGGTGTAGGTCCACGTCTTCGTAAAGCCCCCATATAACGGTACCTCCCAATATTCGACATTTTCATGATTTTAGCGTCATTTTTCACCAGAATTGTTTCAAATTACGTATTTAGAGTTCGTAATGAGAACTACAGTCTATGACAGAAAATTTTCTATGAAGGTCCAGTTCTTCCTATAGGCTCCATATATCAGTACCTCCCTATATTCGGTATTTTGACGAGTTTAGGTACAATACCCACCGAAATTGTTTGAGAGGTCGTATTTGAAGTTTGTAATGAATGCTACAGCCTATGACAGAAAAGTATCTATGCTGCTCCAGGTCTTCGCACAGCTCCGATATAACGGTACCTCCCTATATACGATATTTTGATGATTTTAGCTACATTATTCACCGTTTATTTCAAGTTTCGAATTTTAATATGGTAATGGCTTGTGACAAACAATGCCTATGTAGGTCCACGTCGTATATACCCAAATAAAGCGGCTATATTCGGTATTTAGAAAATTTTAACAGAATTTTTAAAGGATTTTATTTTTTGAAAATTTCCAAATTCGTTCCAAACGGTGGAGGGTATTCAAAGTTGGGCCCGGCCGAACTTACTGCTTTTTAACTTTTTTAGCTCTTCTTCATAATCTGCTGGATTTTCCCATAATTTTTGTCGCACAGTGCATTTTTTTTTTTTTTTTTTGGGAATTCTAAAAAAATTGTATTCCCTATTTTTTAGGCTAGTCATCTTCTATATGGGTACAATTTAATGCAGATTTTTTATGAAAAGATTAGCTTTAAAGGTCATTAGACAACTCGCCTATAGATAGACGTTCTCTGCTAGCCTTTCTTTTAAGAATTCCTGCTGAATCTTCTCTCGAACAAAAGATTTTCGAAAGCTCTTCCACAGATGGAAAGGTTTTCTGTAGATATCCCATTAAAAGTTCTTGCGATGACCTTTAGAAAATCGGCGATAAATTTGTTTTTTTTTTTTTTTTTGGGGTAAAATTTTTAAATCTGCCACTCCAAATTTTGATTATCTAGATTATATTTAGTATTTAATTTCATATTATATCCATTATTTACGTATCCATTAAAGCTCGTTTACATGGCACTCATTTAAAAATTCATTAAAACGTTTAAAGCGTTTCATTCACTTTGTTTTGATGACAATTAAAAATTCATTTAATTTTATTATTTTGAAATCATGCAGAAAATAAAAAAACAATTAATATTCGAATTTGATACTGGATTTTCAAAAAAGCCCGTGTGGCATTCCAATGTGGAACATTAACAAAAAATGTTGTACAAATATATTATCGCTGTAATCGCTTTCGGGTATCCCCTGGTGGTCATTCAGGTACATAGAAATTTATAAAAAAAAAAACAATTAAAATGAAAAAATACATCCTCTTTTCCTTGGGGGCCACAGTCGGCCCAGCGCCGTTTCGATTTGGAGGTCCAGGAATACCATTGCACCAATCGCACATCTTTGGTGCGCCAATTGCACTGCAATCTAACCAAAATTGCCAATGGACGTTACTATGCCGATTTTCTCTTTGAAATAACCCGAAACTTGGACAAAGAAGCCCGCATCCAATTCACCTCCTACTACACACCACAAAATGCCAAGAGGGCGGTGAAATTTGTCGATCTCAATATGAAAGTGTGCGATGTGCTGTCGCAATCCATGACTCTGCCGTTGATAAAAACGATTATAAACGAAGTGAGAAAGACCAGCAATTTACCCTATGCCTGTCCCATAAAGGGGGTAAGTGAGATTTTTTTTATGGATATTTGAAAAAAAAAATCAGAGTCATCTCGATCCTTTCATTTTAGAATTTCACATATAAATTTGTCAACTTGACCTTGGATGCCAACATCCTGCCCACCTACACACCACTCATATCGTATAACTTTTCTACCAAATTTTATGAACATCAAAAACTGCTGGCCATATTGGATGTGTCGGGAGCAACGGTTGCACGTTCGAAGGGAAAGTAATTTTGCAAGGTGGAAAATTTTTCGAAATTTGGATTTTTTTGCGAAAATACAGTTTTCAAAAGAGTTTGCATATTATATCCTTAATGTGTTTAAGTTGAATGTTAGGTGAGGGAGGAGGTATGAGCTTGAGTATGAAGAGAATGGGATAATGGGATGGGATTTCTTCAATAATTTCGAGGAAAATCTAGCCGATTATGAAAGTAAAGCTAAAAACAAGTAAAAAAGCCGTAAGTTTGGCCAGGCCAATCTTTGAATAACCTCCATCATTTGGAACGAATTTGGCAATTCTCAGAAACCAGAAGAAAATTCTCAAAAACAAAAAAATCCGTTAAAAACTTTGTTAAAATCTTAAAAATACCGAATGTAGATATTATATTAGGATGCACAGACAATTTTCTGTCTTAGGCTGAAGTATCCATTATGGACTTTAAATACCAAATTTGAAACAATTCCGATGAATAAATTCGCTAAAATCATCAAAATACCGAATATCGGAAGGTGCCGTTATATGGGAGCTATACGATGACGTGGGCAATTTTCTGTCATAGGCTGTAGTGTCCATTACGAATTCCAAATACCTAATTTGAAACAATTCCGGTGAATAAATTCGCTAAAATAATCAAAATACCGAATATCGGGAGGTACCGTTATATGGGGGCTATACGAAGACGTGGTCCTGTACAGACAATTTTCTGTCGTAGGCTGTAGTATCCATTACGAACTTCAAATATCAAAATTGAAACAATTCCGGTGAATAATGTCGCTAAAATCATCAAAATACCGAATATAGGGAGGAACCGTTATATGGGGGCTATACGAAGACGTGGACCTGCACAGACAATTTTCTGTCGTACGCTGTAGTATCCATTACGAACTTCAAATGCCAAATTTGAAAGAATTCCGGTGAATAATGTCGCTAAAATCATCAAAATACCGAATATCGGGAGGTACCGTTATGTGGGGGCTTTACGAAGACGTGGACCTGCACAGACAATTTTCTGTCTTAGGCTGAAGTATCCATTATGGACTTCAAATACCAAATTTGAAATAATTCCGATAAAAAAAAAATGTCGCTAAAATCATCAAAATACCGAATATCGGGAGGTACAGTTATATGGGGGCTATACGAAGATGTGGACCTGTACAGACAATTTTCTGTCGTAGGCTGTAGTATCCGTTATGGACTTCAAATACCAAATTTGAAACAATTCCGGTGAATAAATTCGCTAAAATCATCAAAATACCGAATATCGGGAAGTACCGTTATATGGGGGCTATACGAAGAAGTGGACCTGCACAGACAATTTTCTGTCATAGGCTGTAGTATTCATTACGAACTTCAAATGCGAAATTTGAAACAATTCCGGTGAAAAATGTCGTTAA